ATTGTAAAGAAAAGACAGAAACTTGTCAGTGATTGGTTTGAAAGCTTTGAAACATTTGGAACCAGGGTGCAGTTTGCTGTCTCTGCCTGACCTTTAAAAGAACATATGAGAACATTTATCAGCAGAGGAAATGGACGTAAAGATTTAAACCTTCACCACAGCAACCTGGATCTGTGACGTGTCGTTGAACAGCAGACTGGTTGGACACCAGTTGCACAGTGCCATGTCTCAAGCTAAAACTCCATGGATCATGCACCAGCAACTCGATTTGAGTTACCATCAAGAAAATCAGTTCACTAAAGTCTAGTCAATTTGAGAGACAATGTCAGAAACTTGAAAAAGCAATGGCCAACATGGGAGTGCATAGATTAGACTGTTTCCATATAAAAGGCTGCTCGTGGTCAATGAGGGGTCCGCTTTTGCAGCAGAGGTTGAGTGATGCTATAAGTGCAAAGTGGTAGACAGTTAGTTCGGTGCTTCTCGACAGATGTCCTCAAAGTCAGTGACTTGTTCGATGATGGCAAAGGTTCAACTAGATTGAACTTTGTAGTTGCTTATTCCTGTGTTTTCCGATCTAAACCATTTGTGCCTGAACTTCCTAGTGAGTATGAGCGCCTAGGTAACGTAAAAAAGACTGGTTCATGAAGCCGGTTATCCAACAGCATTCAAGTCAAAAGTCTTAATAATGCTCCAAACAGCCAAACTGGACCGGGAGTGAACAGACCGGCGCCGCTGAGATGGGTCAGACTCATTTTTTAAAAATAAAACGACTCTGTGTGAACAGTCTGAGACAGAGGATTTTATTGCATAAACAGAAGGTAACACATCACACACACACACACACACACACACACACACACACACACACACACACACACACACACACACACACACACACACACACACACACACACACACACACACACACACACACACACACACACACACACGCGTGCAATGTGGGATGATGTCAGCCAGGAGTCCACTTGTGTGGGAACGTTTCGGGGAAATGTTCGCCAGGCCTGTAAAGTGACCTGCATTTATTATGAATGGAAGCATCTGTCGGCATCTTCCCGCCATACACACACACACACACACACACACACATTACCAGAAAAAGATGAGCACGGGACCACGAAGAGTGTCTGTATGGATTCCACTTAATTGAATGGATGAGCCGCTTTTGTCTCTCTGTAACAAAAACTTACAAATTATCCCGAGCAGATTACCTCGATGTGGGTCAACACACAAATACACACACACAATGCATCGCACATCAGAAACCAACGAGGCACCTGGCTGCCAAAAGCTTTAATTACTTACTTAATTATTACTCTCTTCTGCACCTGGAAAAAGCAGTTTCTGTAGATAGGATAATATTTCCTTAACTCTTAACCAACAGATGAAACTCTGTTTTCTGTAAGGTTACTAGTTCAGTCCCTCTGGGCAGAGAACGATCCAAACTTAATGTTAAAGTAGAGCGACTATTTGAGGCAAATATTTCCCAACTAAAAGTTCATTTCAGACCGTCTGCTCTGCTCTATCACTACATTATCATGGAAGTATTATTCAGTACTGAAGGGAGTTCTGTGGTTAACTTTCCTTTCCTTTACTTTGGTAGTATTTTAAACTAATCCAAGAGCTATATGTTGAGTTTTTGGACCATACACAGCCCTCTGTTTGGCTAAGTTTACAGCAGCTACTGACCCCCCCCCCCCCCCCCCCAACTCTCGGGAATACCCACTGGAGTCCTGCATAACTAAGTGCAATATATTTATTCTATGCCTGTCACCTGCAAATTAATTGTATATTGTATACTAAATTGTATTATTTAATTGTATTTCTTATTTGAATATTTGGTTTTAGTATTTGTATATTTCCGATGTTAGACATCTACAGGCTTGCTCCAACAATTTTTTGTTGCACTTATATCTTATCTTATCTTACCTTAATTCAGACGAGGTGATCGGAGAAAAGCCGAATCAGCATTTGAAAAAAAAAAGTATAAATACACGATGAAATATCAACGCTCTACGACCAGTTTCAGAATGAGAGTCAGCGAAAAAATATCGAAAAATATATTTTAAAAACAAAACTTTCAGTCAACCTAAGGACAGGCTGAGAGCTGGAGCTGAGGTGGGTTTTAAGCCTCCTGACAAACAGCCACATTGCGCCCAGCTGTCAATCATGTCAGCTACGCACCTAACTTTGGATAACACGTATCGTTCATGAAATCAAAACAGAGCCGTTAAAACAAAAAAAAGTCATCCTTCTTACAGTGTGTGCCAGTGAGGACAATAACTCATCAGACCTGAACAGTGTTTTTCCAACACCAGAGGTTGCCGCTTGATCTAAGTTTGTAAAGAGTGGGATAAGACATAAAAAAATCTTTTTTATTCCATGTGGAAAAGTGTCATTGAAAACTGACAGCAGCTGTACAACAAGAGAACAAAGCGGGACAAACATAAAAAAAACACACAACAAGAGCAACACAGTGACTTCATGACAGCCATAAGAATAATGATTTTAACATTCTCTTAAATGAATGTGTTGTTTCTTTTTTAAGGATTAATCCCCACATCACATGCAAACACAACAAAAAACATTTGACAAACCAGGCCACACCAGGTGACCTGCAAACCCCGCGCTGGGTTGACTCATAAATCCACCAAAACAAATGACTATTACTGCGCTGCTAAATCAGGCAAAAAAAAAACAACAGCAACAAACAGCTACTCATTTACATGTTGCCCCAGTTCTGACTCTGACAGAGCGATCTGTTCTGCCCTGTCAACCTGATTAAAATCTACTATGTATATCTCAAGTCTGAACCCACAGAGTGCTGGTGAGGCTTTGGGGGGAGGGATTTAAATAACGGCATATCTGGCAGGGCACAATGTTCTGTCGCTGTTCAACACTGAACAGACCATAAAAAAGGACCGTGAAACCAGCAGTTTCCAGTCATGTTTTAGGACTTCGCACGGTTCATTTAACAGGCCCTGAAAATCAATCCTCTCCAGTGCATGGAAAAACAATCATCCCATTTCAGGGATGGAGTGTTTATGATGCGTTTGCATGCCATTTGACGGAGAAAATCTGGACGTGGAGACTCGCTGATTGGCCCTACATGTATTTGTCAAAGCTACATTTCCTCTTGAGATAAGCAGAGAATCTGTGGGTGATTTTTTTCCAGCTCTTCAATGATAAAACCAGGAGGTATTTTTCCATCTGTACAAATCCACATTTGTGATGTGGTTGATGACTCTTACACATGGATGTCAAAATCCTGAGATAACCTCCATATAAAAGTGTCGGGTACATTAATCCAGCTGTCACTGCTGCTTCTTAACAAGCGCATCATTAAAAAGTAAAGAGTCATCTGTTTTCAACATTTAAAGTTCAAATCATCAGTGAGACACGCAGCCCCCAAAGTTTACAGAATCTTATTCTAAACTACGGAAAAACATGCACGACATGTTCATTATGGTGCGCGGTTATTAGTGTAAGAGCGTGTGATTGAAAAGTTTGACCTTTAGTGAGCTGTATCACATTATACTGGAGATTAATGCAAAGTGATAATGAGCGGGTATAAAGTAGAAACTGAGAGGCAGACATGTGAGAGAGAGAGAGAGCAAAATGTTCTGGGAGAGTGATAATAAACAAATAACAGTCAATGTTCATTTTGTTTGGTGGGGACCAAAGTATGGAAGTTGGTCTGGTTGCTGGAGAGGAGCCTGAGCACCCCCAGCGCTCCATGTTTGGCATCCCCACTCTGACCCAGAACTTCCACCAGATACAGCGTGTGTGCATAGCGTGTCAGCGCAGCGTGGAGCAGCACTGCCAAGAAACATGTACGATGTACGTGGTATAAAAACTCTATACACAACAACAACCACACAGAGGGTCATTGTTCACAAAGGTCCAAACGGAGTGTTTTATTCTGAAAATAAACCGAAACAATTTATTGTCGTTTCAGTGTCTGACTTCCTGTCCCACTCAATCTGCTCTGTGTACCGGCAAAATGGAAGCCTCTGGTTTCTGCTGCAGAAGGGCTCCAGACTGCTGGGACGCAGCTGAGATGCAGCGCAGCCGTTACAGTGAATGCTGTGTGTGTGCACAGTCTGGGGCGGACCGAACACACACATCACAGTCCATGAGGTCTGCTGATCAGTCGCTTTTAGTAAGCATAGGGGGACACCGGGCCTTTGCAGTTATAGCCCCTAAGCTGTGGAACCGGTTGCCCCCCCGAGGTTAGGCTGGCACCCACGTTGCCTGTGTTTAAATCTCGTTTAAAAGCGTATCAGTGTAACAGTTTGTTTTTGCTTTGTCTGTTGTCACTCTATTTGATGTAAAGCACTTTGGTCGACTCTGTTGTTTTTAAATGTGCTCTATAAATAAAGTTGGATTGGATTGGATCTGGTGGAATTTAGCAGAGATGTCTCTCCATTAGGTCCACAGGTTTGTGCAGGTGTGTGATGATTTGGGCCTGTGTGTGTGTGAGAAGCATGTCTCTCAATAACAGAATGTAAAATGAATGAATGAATGTAGGTATTTAAAAAATAATAATAATAATTGTATTATTAACAAAAAATCGAGTTTCCATTTGAGATAAAGCTCAAAGCAACAGGGGTTAGCCAACATCAGTGACTGAAGTGTCTTCTGATAGGTCGGGTTAACACCTGAGCCTGAGCTGATGGCGGTCTGTTCAGAACATTAAGACACTGATAGCAAACACATGACAAGCTGTCATGGAAGATATTTTCATGGCTTACTGCGGGGACACTGATGTCTCCGCAATAAGACATTCTTTCCTACCAGACATGAACCGTTTGGTAGGAAAGATGACGGCATGAAAAAATCAAAAGATCAAAAGGAGAAATGGAAATTGCACAAAAGACGTAAATTCACATCTGGACGGTCCTCTTCAGTGACGCATCACGAGCTGGATCAACAACGTTTAAAGAGGAGAAAAAGCTCTATGGACTAAAAGAGTAGTTTACCTTGATGTTGGAGAACCACAGGTCGTTCTCATGCAGTGTGGCCACGTAGATGCAGCACAGCAGGCCCAGACCGACAGACACAGACCAACCGACTGAGGTCCAGATTATCGCCCCCCACGACCAATCACCTGCAGGAACAGGAACGTTATCGAGTTAATGTTGTCTCCTGACGTGTCTTAATGTGATTTATTCTTCCCATATGTGGTTTTTTTAAACAGAAGAAACTTTGCGATGTCCCAGAAGGAACAGCTCGGGTTCAAGTCGTAAAATAAAACGACAGCTGTTCCAATTCGCTGTGTCTGTTTCAAGGCTTTAGTACCGTGCATGTTCGCTCAGGGTTAGCTAAGGCCAAAGGGAATCTTTCAGCCAATCAGGATAAGAGAAAATCACATGTTTATAATAATCAGATCATGAATAATTACCGGTACATGTTTTCTACATGTTAAGATATGTATGCACACAGAGTTTTATTCCTCAGATGGAGTGAGTGGAGAATAATGATTTATTAATCTGGAGCTCTCTAAAGATTTACAGAGATTCATTCATGATGTCCTCCTCTAAAAATGTAAAGAAACATCCACACTGGCCATGACGTGTTTTGTTTATAGATTTCAAGATAGTGGGCGGCAGTCTGTAGAGACTTGGGTTGGGAACCGAAGGGTTGACGGTTCAAGTCCTGGGGCAGACCAAAGTATGCAAGTTGGTCTGGTTGATGGAGGTCTGTCATTTTGTTACATTAGTGTGTCTAGTTAAACTAATTTACGTATTTAAGTTCATTTAAATTTCTAAGAGTAAACAGTAAATACTGTGTGTTGCATCTACCTTTTAAGATTAAGACACCGGCCCTTTAAGGGAGGCTCAGTGAAGAAGACACAGAGGTGTGTGTAGGCTGAAAAACGAAGCGTGTGTAAAGCTGTGGTGCATTTCTTTAATAAAAGTTGCTAAAATTGAAGATGGACGAGTTCTGACCGGTTCATTTCAAGGAACACTGAGGTGCTCTTAAGCAAGGCACCGGCCCCCCCAACAGCTACGGCGCGCTCCCTGTGTAGCAGCCCCACTCTGACATCTCTCTGTTAAAGCATGTCCACAGCTTCTGTTTGTGCATGTGTGTGTAAGTCAGGCCTGTGTGTGTGTAAGAAGCATGTCTCTCAATAATAACCTAATTCATCTCTGAGGGGAGATTTATCTTTATTTACTGAACACGTTGCCCTCACATCAGTCACAATACACACACATGATGACACGACAAAGAGGATCCTGTGGACATGCAATAATAGAGAGATGTCATCAGTGTCCAGAAAATGAACCCAAAGCTTGCACAATTTCCTGGACTTGACTTGCAACAGGAAGCAAACCACCAGACTGAGCTGCTGAGTTTACCAGTAGTGTTAGAAATGAAGTCTGAGTGTGCTCTGCAGAAGAACTTATCTGACTGCTCCATTTCATATTAACTTAACCACCTTTAACTGCACTGTTGTCCAGGGAGGAGATGAAGATGTGTAGGTGCATACTGAATGTGCTGATGTATCAGTACAGACTAACGATGGGACGATTATTTAGGAAAATAAACATCTCTCCTGTTCAAGTTATCCTCTGACTGCTTCATGTGCGTGTTGTCTTACCTCGTCAGACATCAAATGTTTTCAAATATTTTCAAAATAGCCACACACGATTAGAGGATGAAAACAGGAGATTTCATTGACGGTGATCCTGCTTAAAATACAAAAGGATGACATTTCCACGCAGTCTCTCCCATGAGGACATTCATCGTGTTGCACTCGCTTGTTTCCATGAAAAGAAATCCAGAAATGTTCCTCTCAAAGATTTTCAAAAAAAGAAAGGAGAGATAATAGAGAAGTTCAAGCTGCTGACTCTAAAAAACAGAGAGGCAATCATGAGATGAAGAGAGAGCTGATGGCAGAGTGATGGTTGAAAGGAAAAAGGCTCTGACATCAGAAAGGTGCAGACGGATGAGTTTCTGATTTGGCTGTCCAACAAGCCCTCTCTGAGGAACTGTCTAAACCTGTCACGGCTTTCTGGGGACAAATGTGACAAGAGCTAACGTTGAGGTTATTACTAAACCCTGTGCTTTATGCCAGGTCAAAATGTTTGCTCTCAGCTTTTAAAAAAAAGGCCCATTGTTCCTCGTCTGTCTCCACGTTTAGAAGTATTAAACCTGAGTCACAGAAAACGTTGTAATAGTCGTACAAGATGAATCACATTTATGATGTGAGGTTTCTTTTAAGAGTGCTCGAGTACAACGCGCCTCTGAGTCAGGCAGGGCTGCCAGATGATTATTATTCAGTGGATAATAATGTATGCAGTTTCTTACACAATAAAAACTTGATGCATGAAGCTAAATCAGTGAAATGCTCAGAAATTGTCGGGTCATTATTCCTGAAGTGCTGCGAGGATGCAGCACAGTTCAAAACAGCACAACAGGTGTGAGGGTTATGGAAACATGGCGCTTCATTAAAACCCCACTGAGAACTCTCCCCTCCTCGTTCTGCCCACACAGCCGGTCAGAAGTCCAGGTTCAGAGACAGAGCACCGACCCTGGAGCTGGAACCGGCTCAAGGACTCTGCAGCGGGGACTGCTTGCCAGCCCCGCGTTCACCTCTTGATCAGAGGGTCAGCTGCTTCTCTGCAGTCACTGGACCACATGCTCACTTCCTGTCTGCAGTCAGTGGAAAATGAAAATGAAGTCAGCCGGGTGGGGAGGAGGGTTCACTCACCGTGCAGGATCCTCTCAGGATGATGATCTGTGCAACAGTTGGACTGCTGGGACTGAAACTCTGCGCTGAGGGGGGGCTCCCTCCCCTTGCTGCCCTTCCTCTGACGCAGGGCGGTCATGTTGAAAGTCTGCAACAAGAAGGGGAAGTGAATCTGCTGATGAAACGCACACATTTCAGGCGTAGTGAAAACACACAAGGCCATGTGCACCCCTACACCAAACATGTTCATTTCTGCTGTAAAACCGGCTTTGTTGAACGGGTGTGTGTGTGACTTCTGGTGTTCCTGGAGCCGGCCTCTAGTGGACGTTTGGAGAACTGCAGGATTTTGCAATTCTGCACTGGCTTCATTTTTCAAGACTGGAGGTTGGTATTTCTTGGCAGCATTTGTGTCCCAACACCTGGCAAATAATTGTAAATTTGGACAGCATGCAGGAATCTTCATGCAATGTTTTACTACTTTATACTGTGTCTTCAGACTGACATCTTTGTTTTGGCTCCTTGAAGAAATAAGCTCTGCAGATTTAAATGTTGCAGCTCTGTTATGTGCATTATTGTAGTTAAAATATGCACAGGACTATGACAATGAAATGTGCATGTCAGTAGTTGAATATGACAGAAAGGGTAAATATTTATGCTTATCATCATTGTGTGCACACAAACTTCATGCCAGTGCCTCCCCATCAAAATAAAAAAGGCAGTGCATGCCCCTGTGTGTGAGAATGACACACACACAGATATGACAAAAGGAAGTGAAAGCACATAGAAAGCATGGTGCACAGTGGTGTTCCCTTGAAGCACACAGTGACCTGGCTGCACCACTTGTTTGTTTTCCTTCCCTGTCCTTTGTGTTCAGTCAGACTCTGATGGATGGGATGGACAGGGCCTGCTCACAGCGCTGCTTCCTGCTCACGGTGGACACATCACATCTCATTCATCCACAGCGACGCAGCCAGATGACGCCAAGCATAACAACACATGTACCAGTCCCCAGTGACACATAAAGAGGGGTGGTTGTTGGTTTTTTTTTAGTAATAATGACACGAATAGAGAGAGACACAGGCGAGCAGTAAGCACGATAATCCAGGTTTAAAGTCGCATTGTGTATTTAGCACTTCTCCTGCCGTGTACTGATGAATGGGCATGTTGAATTTAGGCGCAGAGCCGCTATGGACGCCAGATTCTCTTTCAGTCCTGACAGCAGCAACAAAGACGGAACATGTTTTTAAGCCTCACCCTCCTTCCTCCTGCAGGACGGTCCGACAGCTCTCCTCTACCTCCCCCTCTCTCTCTCTCCCTCTTTCTCTCTCTCTCTCTCTCTCTCTCTCTATCTGCCTCGCACTTTCATTTTCCTCTCCTCTTTTTTCTCTCCTTCCAGTTAAAATTCAGCGGTCGGCTTCATACCGCACTGTGTTTACACCGGAACACATGAGAGAGCCCGCCTTCAAAATAAAAGCATGGGGGGGGGTTACCGCTTTTTTTTTTTTTTTCTTTTTGTGAAATGCGCAGGAGACAAAAAATAATCACCAAATCTCCGACCTGATGATTTCACGCTGAACCCTCACGGACTTTAATGGCCTCTGGCATGCAGTGCATGGCTGTGAAAACACATGCTATTATAAATAAGACGTCGTATTGAACATTCAGGAGGATATTATTAACTGAAAGCAAATAACTCTCAAACGTGTAAATTGATAAACTACATGATGTCACCATAAAATGTGTGAAACATGGACGTAGTCTCAGTGAAGTCCCCAATTACATTCTGAATAGGTGTTATGAAGTCAAACACCATCAGTCGCCATATTGGAAATGCTGTCTCAAACCCTTTTCACACATATGGAAATCTCCTGAAAAACTCAGAAGATTTGTCTACCCGGAGGTTCTTTAGTCTATGTGTGAACGCAAACAGACACATTTTTCGCACAGACTTTACCCGGAGTTTATCCGGCCAGACCCCGAGTATTTTATCCGCAGAATATCTGAGTGAGCTGATGTCTGAACGCGGCAGCATACACTCCGGAGATTTCAATTTCAGCCAATGAAAAGAAAATGACGTTTATTTACATTGACCGGCTAAAGTGTCTGCACGCGACCTCTACGATCTCCGTGCTCTAATTAAACGTCTGCATTCTGTTTTCTGTTGGTCAGTTTGTTGTTCTCCTCTCTTTTGTGGATGTTGTCATTCCATTGGATTACACATAGCGTTGATATAAAGACAAATATTCTCATTATAGCGTCGTGTAGCGGACTCTGTTGCTTCGTCCGCGTTGTTTTTTTTACGTCACGTCTTACCTCAGGAAATCCCCCGCCCCCCCTCCCCTCTGACAGGGAAAGTCCCCCGCTGTGAGGAGCATATGTGAACGGCTAGGTCGGGAGAATCTCCGGAGAAGTCCTCCTGTAAATATCTAGATATTATCCGGAGTGCAGATGTGAAAACGGCTTCGGGGTGCACTCACACTAGGCAATCCCCTAAAGTCCAGTTCGCTTGACTAGTGTGAATGCTCCGATCTGTTCTTAAGCACGGTACACTTCCTTGGCCTTGGCACGCTTGGATGAGGTGTGCTTCGGCACGGTACAGTTCATGCACAAGCACAAACACAAGTATACAACGTGGACAGCCTTCATTATCAAGAAATGCTTGTGGCTGTAAATTACTTAAAATAAGCCACAAAGTCAGTGAAGTGGCAGTCATATTCTGTGTGTTGTTTTTCGACCCGGTGTCCTTTTTATTATATTTATTTATTTTTCCGAGTCTGCATGTCTTGTAAAATAAGCACCTTTTTATAATCACGTAAAGCCATGCATGTGCTGTATTACAACGTTATGTACAAAAGGTAACCATGCTCAGACCCGGTTAGTCCTGAAGCAGTGTGAGTGCAGGCCAGCGGGGTGAATGGGGGAATAAGGGGAGGGGGGGACAATCGTGCATAAGCACCGTACGGGACAACTTTAGTGTGAGTGCGCCCTCAATCTAACTTTCGATCAATCCAGAAATGGGGGAGGAGGTGGAGCTGAGCTGGGCCTTGAGCCTCCTGGCAAACAACAACTACGCGTCCACCTGTCAGTCAACTAAACCACGACCCAAATCAGTAAAATGTATGAAAAACTTTTTATAATCAAAGAATTCAGCCTCATGTCATTTATTATGTTTAAGCATTCCTGTCTATTAGTACTGTAAAACTGGGTTGTTTTTGTATGTAGGCTCTAATGTAGATTCCTTAGCATTTGCACATGGCCCCCGAGGGAATGTATTGCTGACAATTTTCGTAAAAAAGAAATATAAAATATAAATGTAAAAGCATTTAATTTATAATATTCTTCATGTCTCTGTGTTTGCAATAGGTTTATTTTTTAGTTTCAGTTTATTTCATTTTTGTGTGCAGGTACTTTGGATGGTTAAATAAACACTCTGCTGTCGATGCAAAACATGAAGGTTAAACATTTTCTGTAACATCAAACCCTCATGAAGACGAACACTGGTGGAATCTTGACCTTCTTTTTAACCTTGTGATCAAGCCATGAATAACTACTAAAACCTCAGCTCTGTTCCTGCTCCTACACACACAAACGTCTGAACACAGCTTTCACCCACATTTAAAGAGTTCAACCTTCTTTCTTCTGCGACCTAAACAAATCATTTTCTACACATCTGTTTGGTCTCATGTTTGATAATGAACCTTAACAGCTCAAGGAACTCACTGAAGGACGATCTTTCACATTATATAGTAGCTGTTTTCACAAAAAATGAAAGATGAAGACCAATATTGTGGCTTTTACGGAGGACAATAAAGACACAATATACAGTAGTGTCCACCTTCTTTCATTTTTGTCGTTGTTAAAGGGGTCATAAAATAATGTGACAGAAGTGTCTCTGATGTACGTCAAGTGGGTTAAAAGCGTCTGCTGAATGAATTGTAGAATTCGGGCAGAACATCAGTCCTTAGGCACATGGAACCATTGGAACCATTGGAACTATTAACAAACGTGAGACCAAGTGCCATTACGGACCATGTTTGGAAATTTTGACTGGTCGCCAGTGAGGTTCCAGTTCTTTCCTTGGCACTGCTGATGTGCCTTTGGGCAAGGCACAGAACCCCAAAATGCTCGGGCACTCTTTCATGTGCAGCTCCCTCACTCTGACACCGCTCCATTAGTGAATGTCCATAGGATCCTGTTTGTGTATGTGTGTGTAGCATGTTCCACAACAGATTTAAAAAAAATTATAAATGTACTTTATCAATCAAATTTTACACCCAGTTATTGAACATGTTTCATGCACACACATGCACAAACGAGATCCTATGGACATGCACTGTCAGTGGGAGGGGGCTGCAGCAGGCACTCCTGAGCTGGTGGGGTGGTGGAGAATCTAAAAAAAAAGAACGAGGTGCCCGATTTCCCTTTTTGACCTCAGAATCGTCATCAAATGGGGGGCAAAATATGTTTTGTTAATGTTAACATACTTTTTTTATTAATTCACGTTTTGCTCATCATCAACTTTTTGCTCAAGTATAACTCTCTACAGTTACATTTCACACGTCTTCTTTGTAGCATCCACACTTTTAGTGCTGTTCAGACTTTCCAAGCTGAAATCACGTGAACCTGGACCTCCGAGCAGCACCTGAATGCAGCATTCAGTCCTTGTTGTGAAGGTTATATCAGACGCCTTTCACTGGCAGAGCGTAGTGGGCGGGGGGGGAGTGTAGACCAGGACGATGAGGTTAAGGTTAGGAGGAGTCGTTTTAGTCGCTGCTTTGTAAGCGAGCAGCAGATCTCATTATTCGTATATGTCATTATACATAACTCTGCACTTTACTTCTTTTTGCTGTTTTTTTTATAAGAAGCCAAACTGAAATTCCTCAACCTTTAATTAAACTGAATTAAATGTTGTGTTTGTTTTGGGTTTAACAGGTCATGTCTTCACTTCAGCGACGCATGCTTTCTCAACAAGAATGTGTCAGTGAAACAAGAAATAACAAAAGGTGCTTGAGGTTTACAATTCAATACTGAAAAGATTTTTTATTTAAAAAAAGAGATTCCTACTCTACCTTGACCTCGGTGAATTGGAGGTGACTGTAATTACCCACCGCGATGACAAATTAACTTTTGAAGTCGTCAACATTCGAAGCAGACAAATGTCAGACCTTGCGGTGGAATGTTTTTGTAGGAACTTCTGTACTTTTGAGCAAATGGTCTCTTGGGAAACTGCTGACACTTTGGTCTCTCTGCATTATGCTGTGAAGTCGTCTTTTCTCTCTTACATTTACACCTCCGTACAAACGACCATCTGCTCCTAACAAATACATCAAATCAAAGAAAAACACACTTTCTTGTTTTTTGAAGAAACTTGAGAGGTGGAAAAAAACATCTAGTTTGAGATTTCTCAGAGCAGTCACACAGAAAGAGGAGTCTGTGCAAAGCTGACATGAAAGACACAAAGATTATCAAAGAGATTTCAGGATATAAATTGGATTGAGTCCTGTTGCCAAAGGATTATTGGCAGAGGAAACAGTTAGCGTAATGGCCAAGCTCTGTGACTCTAGCTAGTTAGTTCTTGGATCATTTCCTTGTGGGTGCACTTAAACCCAGTCCTCCCCCTTCCCCTCCCCTCCCCACGCCTCCTTTGATTTCTCCAAGTCTTGTCATCACAAGCAAGGGAGTGAGACTGCAGGACCACGGCCCATTAAAGATACCCATCCCCTCGCCCACTGTGCCCAATTGGACTCCTGTGAGGCAGCATCGTGTCAAAAATCTGTTGTTTTTTTTCTCATTCAGAGCGACTCAAAAAAAAAACAAGGTTCAAAAAGCAGGAAAAAAATGAGCCAGACCAAACCTCGGAGCGACTCCAACGCCTCACCCTGTGTTCACCCTTATTCCGTTATTTTTTTATTTTTTTATTTTTCTGTCTTGATCTCCACTTTCATGGTGGGACCTTAAAAGGTTTAGGTTAGAAAAAATTGATCCTGTAAAGACATGAATAGATAAGTATGAATAGATTTTTTTTTTCACCTGCTTGTGCAGTCAGGGTTTATGTAAGAGCAAAATGGATTACAGAAATATCAAATATGTTTCTCCTTTTATGAATGTGTGTGTGTGTTCTTGCTTGGCTTATCACGGCTCTGACAGACACCAGAGTTATCGGATTTCCTGTTGAATTATTAAAAAATTGCTTGAATATTAAGACTTGTTTTGCTTACAGTGGGGGATTCAAGCTAGTTCTCATGAAGATCAATACAGGAACTGATCTCTTTAATTAAAGGAAGAATGTGTGACTTCTTGATCCAGTAGATGTCGCCGTTGAGCACCATCATGAAACCAAAACAAACTTCTGTTTGGCCACGCCTCCTCCATACTGAAGCCTCCGCTCTCCTCCAGAGACACACCTCCAACCCC